TTGGCCTTTCAGCCATGATATTCTTGTAATAGATGTTATATGAGTATGACATTTCCTAAACTATGTAATAAAAATTATGGTGAATTAAAGGGACTGGTCCCTGATGGATATAAAATATCCCATAAATAGTCGTAATATTACTGGGCCTGTTCTTTGGGATTTTTCTGAGACTGTATTGCTTTAGATATTCTTCTGCTGAAAGGTTATTATTAATGGACAAAAAGACACAACGCAAACATAAATTATCTAAATCCATTGTTTTTCTTCTAAAAACTTCTGTCTTGAGGTATTTCAAAGCACAAAAATTTCATCAGATTTTGGCTCAAAATCCAGCTTGCATTCTGAGCAAAAGAATCTCTAGTACAGCCTATCCATCACTCTGTTCACATAGGACAAACACATCTTCCGACACCGTATGCAAGCTATCATTTACACTTTGACTTGAGAAATACAATATTCATCAAAATAATCTTAGGTTCTCTTTGCAGCTCATCTGCTGTGTTCCAAGTTCCATTTTTGTCACAGGACAGCCTTTTGTTACCTTACAACTGTGAACTGGATTTCACTCTCAGTTACACTGATAAAGCTGTAGAAATACATTAAAAACAAAATAATTACTTTGGATTTGCAGTGTGCATAACACAAAGCTAAAAATTTGCACTCATGGCCCTTTAAAGCTCTAAGCCTTCTCAACCCAGTTATCAAGCCTTAATGGAAGTGATCTCTAAGCCTCCATAGTGAAGTATTATTAGCTCAACTCTTCCATTGAGGAAACATAAATTTTTGCTAAAAAAAAAACCCAAAACACAATGCCTCTAGTAGTATCTTGTATTAAAAGGTGGTTTTGTATCCATCCTGCTTTGCTTCTATCTTTGCCACTGAAAATCCTGGGTAGAAAATGTATTTGGGTTTCTCATTGAGAAACAGTAGTAAAAGCTAAATTTGGGGGTTTGCAATCTATTGGGAGTTCTCTTGGCCAGTATGTTAGCTGATGGTGCTGTTGGGAGATGGAATGGCCTGGGAAATTGCAGCCATTTGATTTTAGACTTAGTAGAATTTGGAGAGATTAAATAAATATGATAAAAGATTAGAAATGTCATATTATTGGATGCTCCAAGAGCTACATCTTGTTTCGTAGTCAAGATGAGAGTGGACAAGATGAGGGAAAGGTTCGAGCACCCTGCTTCAGTCAGAGCAAGAGAGCTTTCAGTGGGTAGATAGGAGTGGAACAAAATGCAGACTCCAGAAGGTAAAGATAGAGGAACTCAGAATGAGTGCCAGTCCTCAGAGCTGTGTACAGAAAGTTGTGAATGCTTCTCTGTCTCCTTGAGAAAGTTGGCTAAACATACCTGAAGTACGGGATAGTGTGGCTAGCAGTTGACCATCAGCCCGGATTGCAGACTCTCAATACCTCTGTCTCGTTGCTAAAAATTCCTCTTTGCTTTGGTAATTGGTGGAAATGATGAAACTTCATCATGATTACCACTTGTAGAAGAGCATTTTCAAGGTCTCCACGTCTGCTTGACCACTAAGAAATGCCCTATTGGCTGATAAGATGCTTATTTTCTAGCAAAAACACACCTTCCACATCTAATCCAGTTACACCTGAGCAGAAACCTTTCGAAGGCCTCTGCAGATGGATTACAGCAATTTTGCTGTGCCCTGTGTTTGTGTGACAGCAAGTGCCTGTGGATGACAGGTATAGAATAACACATTCCAGCCCAAGTAGGGGCAGAGATCTCATAGCTATGTGCTTCACGGCACTTGCAGTCCTTGTGATTGCCTTGTCATTCCATTGCTTTTGCTTTCCTTTCCTGCCCTCCTTCCTCTCCATTCCTGGTGTTATGAGGATAGCAAGAGCAGTCATCTCCATTTACCACAGGTTCTCTGTCCAGCCTTGTCATCTTTCCTGTTGCTCCGCAGCATAGTATTGTACACCTGGACTTAATAGTACTACCCCCGTTTTGGAGAGATATTAGAAATGTTCTGGGAGACTTAGCCTTCTCCTAATCATAGAAACAAGGTTGGAAAAGACCACTTGGATTGTTTAGTCCAACTGCCCACCTACCACCAATATTGCCCACTGATCACATCCCTCAGTGCCGCTTCTCCACAGTTGTTGAACACATCCAGGAACGGTGACCCCACCACCTCCCTGGGCAGCTTGTGCCACTCTTGCAGGAAAGAAATCGTTCCTGATAGCCAGCCTCCTCTGGAGCAACTGAAAGCCATCACTTCTCATCCTATCTTTGCTCTTCCATTAAGTTCCGCTTCTTGGCTGAGGGCCTGAGTTTCTGTATTTTAGTTTACACTGTGATCCACTTTAGTGAATAAGAGATAGAAAACTGAATGGAGACAAAAAAAAAAAAAAAAGCCTGCAACCATCTGTCCCTGTTACCCTTCTGCAGATAGACAGAATGAGGACTATAGCTCTAGGTGAGGTGTGCCATTCCTCATCACTTCCCCTAACCTACCATCTCTGGTGTGTCTGAGCTGCTGGATCTGCCACATGCCTCCTTCCTATGCCTGCTGCTCCATCTCTCCTCCCAGCATCAGAGGGACAGAGTTCCCCGACGGGAAGTGATTGCTTTGGAAACTCCCTGAACATCTGTGTCCAATCAGACCGCACATCTCCACACAGCAGAGCAGCGGCCCGCAGCCGAGCATCAGCAGTAGCAAGGAGCCTTGGCACAGGCTGCACTTCCGAGTGTGCAGCCCCAAAGGGGTTGCATCAGGGGAGCAGCCGGGATGGGCTCTGTGCTGGAGCTTGCCAGTGACAAGCTGCACAACAAAACCACAAGGCTCGAGATGGAGCTTGAAATTACAGAGTTTGGAGAGCCAAAACCACAAGGCTGCGAATTTCAGTAATTATAAGCCGGGAAAACAGTTTTTAGTTCTTTGTGAGGAGGGAAAATCCCAGGGTTTTGCCTACTGTGTAGGTAGAAATCTGAGAGCCATCTGCTGAGACTCTCCATCTCTCCCTTGAATTGTTTTAGAAATGAGACGGTGAACATGCCACAATGAGAGATCACCTGAGATGTCCTTCTGTAGGCAAAGGAGATTAGCACCAAAAAGTTACAGGGACGAAAACAGAATGAGCAGAAATTAACACTGAGAGGACAAAATAGAGCAATCTGAGATAGCTGAGGAAAGTGGCCAGAGAATCAGTCTGGATGAATGACAAGAGAAACAGCCACCAATGGTACTGAAGTGGGCAGGTTGTATTCCAGCTGCAACCAGCATCTGTATTTGTGTCACGCTTGCATTAAACTAATCAGCAGGAGGACAGGTTTGGTCCTAGCGGCTCACACAGCACTGGGAAAGCAAGCCTCTGTGGTATGTGTTGTTTAACTTTTCTGGACAGCTCAAGCAACAGTAAGGATGAAAATCTGAAGCCTTTCTAAGCTTTCTTTTTACTTCTTTAGCATTTTATGTGCAATGTAAACTCTCTTTAAAGCCCAAAACTTCTGTAGGCTCCCTTTCGAAGTTCGGATCCAAGCAAAAAGCAGGTTTTGTCCACTTTAAGTAGTTTGCAGCCCTTTCTTTTTTTTTTTTTTTTTTTTTTTAATAGTGTGCAAAATTTAAGCAATGCCATATTTAGCACTGCATGTGAAGCCTTAATTCAACATATAAATTTATTTTAGTTTCGGGGTCACACTCTATTTTTCCAGGGAGTGCCTTCTTAAGCCCACAGTAAGATGGTTTCATTGAGTGAGAAGCTATGCAAGATTTTTGTTTATGGTCTTCATTTCTGTGAGATGGCTAACATGCTCAAGTGGAATCTGCAATTTCTTTTTTTCTTCCCTGGAACTGGGAGACCTTTGCTTTACATGTGCCTTTCGGAAATTCCGAAGGTTTAATATTTATCCATTTTTAAATGAATTTTCACAAGGAGGCAAAACTCAGCTGAGGTACCAAATCCCTCAAATCCATTGGTTAAATGGATGTAGGACTTTATTAACATTTGTGAAGTTGGGTTTTTTCCCCTTCTTTTTTTTTTCTTGGAAAATGCTAGGATCACTGAACAACTGAAAATATGTTATATTGGAGAATGTTAGACCACTCTGACCTCAGGCATTCATGATAATTCAACTGTGATGAAAATAAATGAGTGCTAATTAGAATTTTTTTTCCATCTTGGGTCCTGAGAGCACTTTGCAATTGTCAAAATGTGAGCTTTAACTCTCGGGATTCTTGTTGTGGTCAGCAAAAGTGTATTGTGTTTGGGCAGCATTGAGATGGGATCAAAACAGACATTTGGCTGTGTTAGACTGTTGGTTTGGGTAAGAACGTGCATTCTGTCCTCAAGGAGAGGACTCGAATTTCCTCGTTGAGTTTGCTGAAATATTGCCTTTTTAAGGTAGGAAGCATCTCCCAAAAGTTTCATTCTTCAGGATCTGAAACTCAGTATTGGGAAAACATAAAGAACATACTGAGTTGTTTTTTCTCCTGCTCTGTCATCACAGCTTCCACAAGTCAAGATGGACCTTTATAAGCTCATGACTTAATTCACCAAAAACGCAATGAAAGGTAACAGATCTAAGATAAAGCAGGAAGCATGCAGCTCATACGCAGCACTGTGTGCTCGTTTTTAGCTCTTTGAAAGTTCTTAACAACATTTGTTTTCCAAGAGTGCATCCCCTTGTGGGCAGGTGGGACTGATCACAGCGTGTGCTGAAATGCTTAAGCCATTAATCAAACTAGCTGAAGTGCTATCAAGAGTGAAATTGTGGCACCAAAGTGGAGGTTAGCTACGCTGAAGCCCAGGCTGCTCTGTTTTCCTTGCACTTGTCATCCAGACTAGTTCAAGTGCATCTGCACATGATGCTGTCACCCCTCCAGGGTGTACTGTCCCACTGTAACCTTATACTGGTGCCTTGTGGCAGCGAGCAGTGACAGCAGGAACTGTTGCCAGAGGTGCATTTTTGTAATAATAGCAATCTGCTATTTTTTGTGTGTTGTTCTTTACTGATATTTTCTCTTTCCCTTTTTGTTACCAGAGCGCCTCTGATGGCTTTTGGAAGTCAGTGGCGACCCGTGTTCCCAGAGAACCTCATGAGATACGTATCCTGAATCCCTACTTCATCCAGGAGGCAGCTTTCAGCTTCATTGGACTGCCTTTCAACAACGGCCTGATGGGCAGAGGGGTAGGTATAAAAGAGAGCAAGCAAAACCAAAGAGGAGGATGAGAACAAGCAGCAGAGTTGGCTGCCATAACTCTTTTCCATTCGACTTCCTCTGTTGAACATTGAAGGGAAGGAACTTTGGCTCCATTGCCTGCAATGACTAATATCACTCATCCTGTACTCTAGGCTTATAGTACAAGAAGGTGAATGTTGGTTTATGAGGCCCATGGTAGGAAATTCTGATATCACAGTGACAGGTTTTAGTTACAGAAGCTTGCAATAGAAAACGATGTGGCGGTTTTATGTCCTAGTTACAAAACACCTTCATGATTCTTCTAGTATCCCTAGCCTCCAGCTTTTTAGAGTATTAGTGTGGAGCAGGGTTTTCTAGAGTTCTGATTCCTGGACATTGCGACTGTCCTCAGAGCCTGTTTAGACTTGCTCTATCTAATATACAACCATTAGAAAAAGCATTACTCGGGAAATTGCCCCTGTACACACGGTTTAGTTCTTGGTTGAGACCACACATTATGTTTAGGGGCCCGTTAGCATAGCTGACAGACCTGGCTGGGTGTCACTGAGGAACACGGTTAGTGGGCATGGTAGGGATGGGCTGGCAGTTGGACTGGGTGATCTCAGCGGTCTTTTCCAAAATTTATGGTTCTGTGATCATCCCAAATGTTCCCCTTAGCTAGGAACTAATGTATTGCACCTCTCTGCATTCTCCAGTACTGATCTTTAGAAGGATGTGGTCTTGATTTGTCTTACAGAAAATCAGGACTGATGCCTTAATGATGGACAGAAATCATCAGACCTTTGCCTTTATTTTCTGCAGATTTGGTTTTATTTTTAAACACGTTATTTTAATACACAAGTTATTACTTAAGCTGAGAGGAGAAGAGAGAAATCCGGAAATGAAAATGCTGTGAACTGAAGTTTATGAGGTTTTGATAGGTTGTTTAACACAGATCAGATTGGGAAATGAAGGCAGCTTAATTGAAACCTGATGTTTCACTTCATGAAAGTCTATTTGAGCATTAAAAAATAGTTTATGGAGCCCTAAGACAAGCAGTCTTTACCCCTGACCCCTGTTAGATTGTGTAAGTTGTAGTTTGCTCCTTGAGATGGGACAGAAAGAGCTCTGCAGGTGCAGAAACGTGTGGAGCTGAGACTTGAACATAGCCTGTGCTGTCTGGGCAAGGATGGTCTGACACAGCGATTCAGTGGGATGGGGCAGGTTGGTGCCTCCACGTCGAAATACATGGTGGTGTAATGGGCAGGCTGCACGCAGGGGGCTCAGGGCTGGGGATGCCTTTAGTAATCGAGACCAACATGAAATCCTCACAAAAGGCAGTAATATTCCACTCCTTTTTGGTTCTGATGCCTAAATAAACTTCAGTGTTCCTCCTGCACACCACATATGGTAACAATGTGCTGCCAATTAACTTTGTAATTTGGTGGCTTTTTCAGCAAGGTTGAGGAGAGCTAGTAAAATAGCTCAGGGCTGATCTCAAAGCGTTTTTCTCAGGATTCAATAAAGAGTGAATGTAGTAACAACCTCTGCTTTGATAATGTAATTTGGGCCAGATGGTTCTGGAGGACAGCAGTGGGGTGCAACTCAGATGTGCATTTAGATTGTACTTGTGGTATTGGTATGTGGCAGTCAGCAAGGAGCAAACCCAGTCACCCACAGTGAGCAGTGACTTTTCTCTGGGACCAGCAAAGCTTGTCAGGAGTTTCCTCAGCCCATTTACTGAAGTTTTCAGGAGAGAGATAGATATTTCCTACCATGCATGGGCTTCTATCCATTGGGATAAAATGATGATAAAGAAAAACTTCAGTTTAGGACTTTAGTAATGCCTGGGGAAAATTAAAGATGTGTCTGTCCCTGAAGCTGGTTTAATGCAAGAGAGGTGAGCTAGTCTCTTTGCTTACAAAATCCTCTTAATGAGCAGGCACGAGCTTGGCTGTCTAACTGAGCAGTGGGATATGTATGTGGTTTGTGTTTAGGTGAAAGTTCTCTGTATACAGGTCTTTGGGACATGAAACCAAACAGCACTGATACTGCAGCTAGTAATTCAGGCACATAATAACCTACATTACCCTGCTGACAGGTTACTGGAGGGCAAGTACGAACATCAGTTCAACTGTGCCTTTGCCTATTGCATGTAAAACAACAGCATGGCTGTTGCTGAGGTACTTTTTGCCCTGTATTGAGTAGTTCTTCTCACTCTGTAGTGCTTGGAGCCATTCAAGCAGTGACTTTCTGGCTGCTGAGGAAGCCTGGAAGTGTGTAGGTGGCTGACAGGGCATTTCAGGTGCACCCAACCTTCAACTTGCTGAAGGAGGAACCAGGAGCAGCACACCATTGTAAGCCCTTGTGCAGGATTGTTTTTGGGCACCCCACCTCTGCAGAGTGCTGATGCTGGAGCACACGTGTCATGCCCCAGGGCATCTCCTTGGGAGCCCTTTAGTCTGGTAGGCAGCTTTGCAGCTACTCTGGCTGGTCGTAAGACCCTTTCTTGTTACCAGCACAGGGTCGGAAGGCACATCTGCTGCTGTACTGGCTGGGCTGTGAACACTGCAGTGTTATCAGCCCACAAGCTACAGGGGAATGGGCACTCAGAAAAAGCATTTACAGGGTAGCAGGCAAATGCACACCTCAGCTACTTCTTAGTAAGTGCCCAACTGCATGCTCCTACACGTGATGGATGGAAAGTATCTGAAGGGAGTTCACTTTTCAATGAAAGAGTTGGCCACGAACTGCTATTTAGTGTGGGATGAAGCACATGTGTGGCCACCACAAAGCAGCAGCTAATGTAGGGAAGTCACACCCTTGCTTGCCCTCTGTTCAACTGCTGGGTCCTTGAGAAACACTGCATAGCATGGGAATCTGCTTTATGGCAAATGCTGAATCAGAGCTCATATGTTTAGGTTAGATGTGGTCAAAGGTGCTGGCTCAGGCTAAGTTACACAGGAGCTTAGCAATTAAATGGCTGAGCTGAACTGAAACCTGCTGGGCAGCATGTCACATCTCCAGGCTCGGGTCCCTGGCCCTTCTGTCCTACTCTGCTGCAAACTGCCAGCTCTGGAGGCTTCCCTCCAGCTCACAGCAAGGGGCAGATAGGGGCGGTGAAGGAAAAGTGCTGGAGATGCTCTGTGCTGTCTTTTGAAGCCCAGTATTGCAGCTGTCTCTGTGCATGGATAGAGGTAGCTATAGAAGCTCCTGTGACAGGGACCACTCTGCAGAACGACAGGCACTTGTCTTCACAGTAATGCTGAATTGCTTTTTATGGTATATTTCCAAACCTGCCAGCTAAGGGAATCAAAGAGTAGGTTTGGGGTTGTTCCTGTGCAAAAACAAATGAACAAACAGAAGATGTGGTCAATGTTCTGTGTATCATGGGGTGGCTCTTACAGTTTCACTCTTTTGTTTGTATTTTGTTTGTTTGTTTTTAAAGCTTTATTGCTATTAAGTGATCAGGTCTACAACTGATAAAAACAAGGTATGAATTTTTCCCAGATCAGTGGTTTTTCAAGTTTTCCCTCAAATAAATTAAAGTAGTAGTCAAACCAGTTTGAATATCTAGCTGCAGTGTTGTTTGGGGGATTTTTCCTTAGCAACATTTACCCTTTTTGTAAAAAAGTTAACAATTGGAGTTGTCTGAACAACCCAATATGCCTTACCCTGAGCTAAGTGAAATCCCATAAATAACTGGAATTCATTTAACATATTAGGGGAGTCAAATATTTCTAAAAACAGATTTACAGCAGTCATTTCCTTCCAGTGCAGAAGGCAGTGACACAGGAGTGACCCAGGCGTGGAATGAAAGTCAGCCGGAGACTTTTCACATGCACAGGCAGGGAGCAGTCACAGCCCCTGGATCTCCAGCACAGGGCCGTGAGGTGATGCTCGGTCTCCATGAAGCCCAAAGGAGGGCTGGTGTTTCTTATGCTCAGTGTTTTCTACAGACATGTAGGCTAACCATTTTTAAGCATGAACAGATTTGCAGGTATACTTCTTGGTTACTGCCAAGCCGCTTGGTTGGAAGCAGTGCTGCTTGGTGATAGAGGAGAATCTGGCGTGCACTGAGCAGGATTATAAACCCTGAGGGATGATGCTGGGATTTCATTCTTTTCCTCTTAGCAATGGCCTACAGTAGCAAGAAGCCTATTCTGTTATTTGAGAGAGGATTTTTTTTTCATAACTCAATGCAAGAGGTGTGGTGGTTGCTTTGGTATTTCTTTGGGGCACGGCACAAGGGTGTGTGTGCTGAGAGAGCACTGACGCACCGTGCAGGGCCTGGTAAGCCAGGTTTGGTGCACCATGTCCACGACGCCTAACTTCTTTTGGAGTGACCTGTCCCCCAGCCTGCCCCAAAGGTTGTATCTGCTTCATTGGATCCAGAGTAGAGCTTAGCAACAAACCAATCAATATGTCTGCAGACAGTCAGAAGAGATGTGTCCCGAGATCCTACAAGGCCTTCTCTTGCTTGTGCCAGCAGGACGTGGGGGAGCACTTCATTTCCAGCAGAAACTCAGCAAGCTGTTACGGGAGAAAACTGCTCTGTTTCTATTGTTCAAACCAACCCAGGACCAAAGCATTCTATTGACTTAGTAAAGACGTGTAGTTAACCATCAATCATGCTTTTACACCTCTCATACTGGCTCCTTTTTATTTTTCTCTTCTCCCAAAAGTCTCCATAATTCCCTAGTTACTGTTTAATCTGTCTGATGATCATTTGCTTTTTAATGCAAGCAAATGCCCAGTTTCGTGTATTTGCCCCATATGCATGTGTGCACACAGGTTTTGTACTCGTGCTCTCCTCTTAACAGGCACTGTTATCTGTGCCATTTGCTAAGGGGGGGCTGTGCCTCACTGCATTCACTGAATAGCAGAGGTGATAATTTTGGCAGAATTTTCTAGGTGGTCCTCGGTAGCCCTCAGGGATCTGACAGCAGGAGCAGCGCATGAAGCTGCATCTCAGCAGTGAGAGTGTGATGGACACAGATCCTGGCCCTCAAGGGGAATATGTGCACCAGGCTGTACCACCGTGACATTAACACAGATAAGGTGTAGCTTAATTAAAAGCTGCCATCAGTTTCTGAATGTGATTCTAGGGCAACACAAAATTATTTTGCTAAGGGCACAATTTGAACTTCTGATAGTGTACGACCCAGAGCAGATGGATTTGCTGCAGCTATGGTGGTTAGGAATTCTTTGGTATTTCAATCATTCTACAGAGGAGCAGGCAGTGCTGAGATACTGTGATGTTGGGAATTATTAAAGACTAGAAACAGATTAGAAAGTTATCTCCTGCGTTTCCGTAAAAGCCATTGGAGGATTTATACGTAGAATAAAGTGAAACAGGTATTTGGTGAGCAAAGGGAAAGTTCACTTTTGATTTGCGTTATCAGTTGCTCCCCAGGCAGAAATAAGACTATGCTTGAGAGAAAGTTGTGGTGGTTTGGCAGTTCTCCCATAAGGTTGGGTAGTATGATTAATTCTCTGTGGTTTGCAAGACTCACATTAGAAAGTCAGCTCTTGAACGTTAACTTGGCCAATAAAATTCCCTCCAGGCAAAGACCCTGCATGTCCGCAGAGCTGTACCGTGGGAATGGGCCCAGTGCAAGTGTGGGTGGTGTCAGCGCCGTCGTCTTCCCCAACAATGACCCTTTCTCAAAAAACATAACCGTTTCTTTGCTGTGTTTTGGACACTGTAACTACAGCTCAGCTCGGGGGAAACAGTTCTGTGGCACATCCACGTATCAGCTGATGCAATTCAAATGACATCTGAATGTCATCTCCTAAGTAAAACATAAAGCTGACAATATCTGCCTTTGAATTGCCAGGCCTGGGAAGGCAGGATATTCTTGTGCATTCTGAAATTCAGTGGACTTTTCTTATCCTTGCCCGTTCAGCTGTTTCCATTTTTTAAAAAAAACCTATCCTTGAGATTTTATGACCACCGGTGAATTAACAATTAACTGAAGCAACTAGAATAAACACAATATTGTTTGTGGTAGAAGCAGCCAGTATCGATTGATGTCAAACAGCAAAATGGCTCTGTCTTTTCTTCCTGACATCTAGAGCTGGCTCAGAAGCCAAGTCGTTCCAGTTCAGATCTGCACAGTTACAGTTGTACTGCAAATGTTTGGATTTAATGGTAGTTTATTTAGGCACGAGGGGTCATTGCATTTTTTGCACACTTGTCTTCAGATTAGTGTAATTTCAATGTACTGTAGTGCACACATAGGTTGCTCTCCCAGCTCTGCTCGTCTCAGTTAGGGTATGGATGGAGTTCTCTGCTTGGAAGACACCGGTCTCAGGACATGATCAGGCAATCAGATGTGAGCACGGGAGTGTGCTGCTTAAAGCTGGTTCCTTTGAGTTAGAGGGAGAAATTCAAAGCATGTCCGTCTCCAGAGTTCTGTGAATGTTGGGTGAAATGCAATGGCATTGCTCACTGGTACCAGGAAATCTCTGTTACTTGCAAGATGTAAGCTCATGTTTGGTTTTTGCATCTCAGCTGAGAGGCTGGCACCCCCAGTGACTGTCTGAGCATGTCCTCTGTGTTCGTGATACTTTTGATACGGTGGCGTTGGATGAATCTACAAGTGAAGATAAGATATGTGGGTGGATTTCTCAGCCTCTCCCTAGCCCCTGGGGTAAAGCTAACTCAGTGGATTGATCTGGTTAAAGGGGAGTTAGAAATGTCTGTGAGCTAGTGTTCAACACTGGAAACACTCATCCATCACCGCTGTCATGTTCATCTGTGCTTACAAGAGCAGCTGCAGCCATCCAGTGGCACTATAGGAGCAAGATGAAATGGGAACGGTTGAGGCTGGCATCTGCTCAGGGTGCTAGCAGCCCTCTTTGAATGGCTTCTGGCAGTCCAACCATTTACATTTGTCCCTCTTTGCTGGAGAGTCAGGTCTTGGAGTCCCAAACAAGAGCCACTGCTTTTGTGCTAGATGCTTTGCAGGAAGCTGACTAACACTGGATTTTCTTCGGAAGCTGGGAAGATATTGACTCTGCAGGCCGGCACTGAGCAACTTGTGTGCAGATGTAGCCAAACGTTCTATTCTGTATTTTGTGCCTAGTAGCAGTATCTTTTGAACAGAGACAATGAAAGGGAATCTTTGATAACACAAATGACAACCTGCTAACGGCTTCCATTCCTGCTTTCTCTCTTCTCAGAACATCCCCACCTTGGGAAGCGTAGCAATAACCATGGCGCTCCACAACTGTGATGAGGTGGCGGTCGCTGGGTTTGGCTATGACATGAGTTCACCCAATGCACCGCTGCACTACTATGAGAACATCAAGATGTCTGCCATCAAAGAGGTAGGAAGCTCCCATTAAGCACGTCTTCCTCCCAAGCCCACAACCACCTTTACTCCAGAGACCAACTGGGATGGTGATGTTGACTCACAGCTTTCCTGTGCGGGTCAAAAGACAGCTCCAGCCAGGCATTTGGCCATAAAATTCTAGACATTCTCCCAGGCACAGTGTGTGTTTAAAACAGTTATTTCTACTGGGAAAAGTTCTCTGGAATGTGTGTATAATGTGATTCCATCTTCTTTGCCCAGAGAGCTGTGGGTGCCCCATCCTTGAAGCTGCTCAAGGCTGGGTTGGGTTCGATCCTGGGCAGCCTGATCTGGTAGGTGGCAACCAGCCCATGATAAGGAGTTGGAATTAGATGATCTTTAATGTCTCCTCTAACCTAAGCCATTCTATTATTCTCAGAGTGGCAAGGAAATTTTTCTATAAATATTACGTCAGATAGGATGAAAGGGAGCAAATCTGCTCAGGGGTTAAGATGTGACCTGTTACAGCTTTGTGATCCATTGTATTGCTCTAATCCACAGGCTTCTTTTGCTAGATGATCCCTTGCTCAGCCCCTGTGAAATGTGGGGGAGGTGAGATCAGCTTGTGCTGGCTCTCAGCTGACTGAAGTAGCAGTTAGCTAGTGTAATCACGTGGAGGCTGCTTCTTAATGCCAGCTCTACCTTAGAAACACTTTCTGGTGCTGTCCTAGTGGAACAGAGGCTTGAGGAACAGAAGCTTGAATGTTGTTATAATACAGCAGTATTTCAAATATGACCATTTCATGTGCTGAATTAGGGCAAACTTTGGTACTGGCCTCAGCTCCTTTTATACTGGGAAAGTCTGCAGATTTTTTTGGTTGAGCCCAGTTGTTTCCAGCATACATGTTGCACAGGTCATTCTAAAATTGCTTCCTGGCCTTCAATGTCTCCTAGATAAGAGGAACTTTCTCAGTCTTACTCCACATTGTGCATTCAAGAAGGGGAAATGCTCAGAGGGAGGGAATGCTTGTGTTGTTCATTAGCAGTTGCTATGTCCAGGCACTTATATTTGTTCACCTCAACCACTGTGCCATTGATCCAGGTCAGAAGGGAAGCCTGGAAGTTGTATTTCTCTAATTCATGAGGCTGTACATGTCTTGGGGCTCTCACAGACTGCAGGCTGCACAACCTTAGGCTCACTGGGAGGAATTAGCAATCAGTGCCTAGTCAGCTTGAGAAAGTAGAAGATCATATCATTATAATAGCAGTGATGCTTTGGAACAATTTGAGTTTGAGAAAAGACTGTGAGGAGGTCCCCATATATATTAAGTGTGATCCTGAGGTATTTTCTGCACCTATAGAGGGAGCACGAAAATCTACCTTGCTCTATGGAATAAGCATAGATTTAATCTGTCTTGGCAAGTGTTCATTTATGGGATTTAAAGGGTACATCCAAAGAGGAGAATCGTGTTTAGTCAGTACATACAGAGATGGCATCTTGTGAAATCCCTGAGCCAGCAATATCTGAGGAATATCTTTGTTGCAGTAGTAGGAGAGGTATCATGTTGACTTGCCCAGATCTGATTCTTTGCTGGGCAATTTGCTTATGGCCATAGTAAGGAGGACTGTAAGGAGAGCCCTTGTGCCAAATTTCTCTTACCCAGTTGTTCTTGTATCTTAAGGAGGCTATTAAGTCCCACGGTCAGCTCTTGAATGTGGGGGCACTCACAGCCTGTGTCCTGTGCCAAGACTGTTTTGCAGCCTGGAAAGTGTCGCTGATGTCAGAGTGGGAGCTGACAAGGATGAAGTCTTGCTCTCTTTGCATGGCTTGGTGGGAAAAGGAGTTGGATGACATCTCTGCTCCTCTGCAAGGGAAGAGTTAAAATGCTCAAGGGCCTCACCTGGGAGCCACTGATGCAGTAACACACAACCAACAGCATACCAGAGGGAATGAGGGGGCTGCAGCACCCTGTGTTACTCTTAAACTCACCTGCCCCCTTGCTTCACAAGCAGACAGACGTCAGCAGGGAGCAGAAAAGCTCTTAGAGGGAAAAGTCAGGAAGCACCACTAAGAGGAGTCTGCAGTGAGAAAAAAAGCACAAGCTCTGCTGTGAGTGAGCTTCCCATTTCTCTGCCCCTTCCCTGCCATCCCCTGCAGCACTATCAGTTCCTGCTGATGTGAGTATGCATGGGACCCTGAGCCCTGTCACACATGTGCAAGCTGCTTGGATCTTTGATTCTTGAGGCCAGCACCCTGAGCAAGAAGCAGAAGCCAGTGGAAGACAAGACAGGAGGGAGTCACTCTTGAACACAGCATGTGGTCTCAGCACGGCACAGTGCAGTATGTGGGGGTGAACATGAGAAATGCAACCAGTAAGGTCTCCTAGAGAGACCAGCCTGTGCTGGGTTTGACTGGGCTCTGCTGTCTGGAAGCTGTCAGTCGTCGTGCCCTAGATGTTCTGTACGGAGGTGAGGGAGCGTTGAAAGGTTCTGCTGAAGTCTCACTAATTCAGATGTCAGCGGGTTTGTTTCTACAGCCGAGGCCGTTGATGAGAGCTCTGCAGGGCTGGTTCTAGGAGGAAGGTTCCTGTTCCACGTGAAGGCTGGTTATCTGATCTGTTTCTGCCCATCTAATCCTCACATGCTCGCCCACAGTCTCCTCTTATATTTCGCTGTCCTGGTACAAGAAAAGCCATCTGTTCCCAAGTATCAATAATTAATGCTCCTCCTGCCCCTGCCCCTCCCTATATGACAAATTGTTTGTGATATTGTGGAATGTGAAGAGCAGGAAGAAGATTGTATTTCTTTCTCTCCCATTTAATATTAATGGTAGCTGGTAATTGTTAGTCACCTGAGGGTGAAGTTGAAAGGTGAAGGGCATGACAGCTGAGTTGTCTTCTGCAGTTGTCCTCAGATAACTCACAAATGCAGATTTGCCCCACTCTAGATTGGACATGCTCTGCACGTTTTGCTCAGAGACAGCCCTGCGTGTGGTTTGCAAATCTGGAGGCTGACCTTGTTGGCACCTTGTGCCAAACCTCGCCATCAGTACAAGTGAAATGAGTCTGACCCAGAGCCAGGCTCCACCAAGGCGTTCATCTGGTCCATCTGCTCCTATACCCAAAGGCCCATCAGTCTCCATAACGTTTTTCTCAGTGTTACCTTTGGACCTCCAGAACTGTATCTAGGTCTGGTTCATCTCAGACTCTGGGGAAGCTGGAAGTGTTAAACAAAGGTGGAGATAGCAGGCGTTGTGGCTCACTGATGGACCAAATACCTACAGTTTCATGAGAAGAGGGCAGTCATGGCCCTGGATGGCTCCTGAAGCACAACCCCATCCCGCAACCCGACCGGCGGGCTCCTTCAGCCCCAGCTACTGAGCAGTATTCAGTGTTTGAGTCTCAGGAGCAGCTGCAGGGAAGCACTCCAGCTCCACCCTGAAACCATCACTGTCTTCACAGAAGAAATGTAAACAAAACAGCATGCTGGATCTGGAGATGCCACACGTGTGGCTTTGGAGATCCTCCCGGAAACATCCGTCCATCCCCATCCCTTGCCCAGTGCCCGCAGGGGATGGGTCCCATGGTGAGGTGTGTCACTGAGTTCTACTTGAAGCCCTCTTGACATCTCCCCGGACACCCCCCGAAACCCTGTGACTCATCTCTAAGGAATTTGTTCTGATTACATAAAAAAAGCCAGCAAAATGTGCTCGCTTGCTCACAGCTGGGCGGAGATGCCTCTCCCATGCCAAGTCTGAGGTGATAAAATCTCTGTGGAAATGAATGTGATTTTTCCTGTTGCTCTGTGGCGGGTTGCATTTCCAAGAGTCAGAACAGGCAGCCTGAATGTATGGTTTTGCTTAGTCTTTGCTTTCCCGGCTGGGGTGAAAGCCCTCCAGGTCCAGAACTGTGCTGTTATTGCTACTGCAGGAGGCAGCTGCCTCCAATTCTTCCCACATCTCAGACTCTGAAGCCTGAACGGTCGTTTCCTGCTCTGGAAGAAAGGAGAGATGCTAAAGTCCCATCTAAAGAACTTCCACAGGGTTTTATGAGCTGTGTGGGCCCACTGCTTTCCCATCTATTACTGGAAAACCACTATGTGAATTCTTGCACATTATTTTTCAGTTCTGATCCTGCCTTTTTCTTTCAACTTACAAAATGTGGAAGGTTTAAGCTTGTTATCTCCTTTCACTTCCTATTTTCCCTATTGCCAATAACTTGTAACAGCTTTCGACCCTTGTCTGCTTCCCTGGATGCTGTACAGAAGATGAGCGAGCCCTTGCCAAGGTGTATGCTCACTTGATTCTGTTCGTATGGTGATGAGCTGTCGAGCTGATTTTTTTATTTTTTTATCATTTACTGCATTTTAATTTCTTGCTCAGGTCCCCTGGTGCTTCCTGCCTTAGCGCTCCATAAAAGTATGTTTCTGTCGCAGGTCACTGTCTGTTAATGTAGGAGAAGTTTCAGATCCTCCTGGAGCATAAAGAAAAGTAACGTGGACATGGAGGTGAGGCAAGGAAGGAATCATTTTAGAAGGGAGCGAGCAGGAGGCTGTGTTAAATCAGCAGAACAAAGCTCCCAGAACCCCTCCTCTGCGAGCACTGCCCTGCACCCTGCAGCACACCCTGCCTTCCCCAGGCCCGGAGCCGGGATCTGCCCTTTTGTCGGCACAGATCCGTCGGTGGCTGCCCACTGCTGTCCCTCTCAGCGCGGTAGCAGATCAAGCAGCAGTGCCGCCGCTGCGGAGGTGGCAGTCCCTTTGATACAGCTGTGCCCGGCACCTCATGCCTTGCTGCCTGACCCAAGGGCAAGGCCACATGCCGCCTTTGATGGCTCCTTTCTGATGGCAGCAGGCTTCCCCTGTATTGTGGGATGCTGGAGGACACCTAACACTTCTCATTCAGTGTGTGCAAGGGCTGTCACGAGGCCCAGGGAGGTGGCCTGCAGCACGCAGTGACACACAGCTTTGTCTCTGTCTCTCCCCACCTCTCAGAATGATCCACAAACATCACGTTTGGAGCCTCAGCCCATAGAGACACAAACAATAGTGCTTTATTATCATCTGGGCTCTCTCTGTGAAGCTGTCTTTTGCATTTTAAATGAAGGAAAGTTGCTTGGGAGGGGGTGACAAGGCTGCTCCTGGCCTCCGAGCACCTAAAAGTTTGCGGTAGCCAACAAGAAGAACAAAACTCCTTTGAAAGCAGGGCAGATGTCTGGCCTAGTGATTTATAGACTGAAAACACAGCCATTCGAGCCCGGCTGATGAATTGCCATTGGAGTACAAGGAATGGTGCGCACTGAAATGGAGGTCAGCTCTGGAGGGGGAGGTTAGAGGCTGGGGCAGGGGGACCTCTGAAAAGGCACCGCTTTTTCTTGGGGCCCACAGTGATGACTGATGAGGTTTATACATTTTTGTCTTTGTTTAGAAGCCACCTGTTTGACAGCGTTTCGGCGGAACGAAGGCCTCATGTGCCGTTCGTGTGCGTAAGGGCTGTGTCTGTGCAATAGAAGTCTAGAAGAGATTGGTGGGATAGCAGTCACTGCTGCAGCACAGGTACTGCACTGTTAGGTGGGACAAAATATGGTGATGCCTTTGGGGCATCACTGAGCCCTAACGGCAGGGAAGAGAAGATTGTGGCATGGATAAAAGCAGAACTAAGTTGTGATGAAGAGAAAGACAATGAAAGATCTACAGGAGTGTGTTGGAGCACGGCTGCTGACCCCAGCATTGAACGCAGCCCTCTGTGATGGGTAATGTCACACAGGTACACCAAAGCCAGCATGTTTGCCAGAGGGAGCCCAGGTATCCCCAGATTTCATAGTGCTGCTTCTGTCACCAACCACAAGGGGACAAGAAGAGCTGATATCCTTCCAGAGCTGATTTTAGCAAGCATGCAGAGAGCCATTGGAAATAACCCTTGATCAACACCATCACTGTGAAATTAAATGGAAAGGCAAGAGTGGATGCATCAAGCAGCTCAACAATTCCTTGTAGAGGGGATTTGAAATTTTCCTTTCCTTTTCCTTTTCCTCTTTTCTCTTTTCTCTCTCCTCTCTCCTCTTTCCTTTTCTCCAAAGTGCAAAAATTGTGATTCATGTTTGTAACAAAGAGAGAATTGATAGGAAAAGGTTTGAGATGAAACTTGGTAAGTTGCTTTGGAGTGGGGTTGGAGGAGCAAGAGAAAGCATGAGGAAGAGAGAAGACTTCAGCTTATTGGACAGAAAGGACAGCAATAAAATGGAAACTAGCCAAAATCAGGCTGAATTAGGTCATGCAAAGGAAAACGATATGGAAACAAGGAAAGAATTATGAAGGCTGTGGCATCCAGGGAGGTGAAAGCAGCAGAAGGCACAGGGATTACAGAGCCTAAGCAGGAGCTGTGCAAATGAATGTGTTACCTCTCTAAAAGTGATGTGGTGAATGTTAGGGAAAGGGTGACTTGTGGTGAGAAGCTCATAGGGACAGAACGTGACTGGGTCAGTAGTGAAAGGCAGAAAGCTGGTGGAGGCAATGCTGTGGGTGAGGAAGCCTGGGGCATCTCCATTCCAGCACTGCATTGCTGAGCCAATTAAGCCACAAGTCCAGAGGAAAAGGTCTTTCTATCAGGTTACACGTGGTTCCACAGGATTAGATTATAGTGGACATAATACCTGTATTTCCTTTCTTTTTTGGGGGGATGGAAGTGAGGTGAGGGAAATTTCCCTGTCAGATTCAGACCTCTCAATCTGACCTCAGAGGTGCTATTCAGAACTTCAGAGCAGAGTTTGACTGAAAGAATAATTAAATCCCGAAAGCAAACACAACATGGATTTACCAAAGGAGGGTTACAAAAACTAATTTAATATCTTTATTTGATTAAAAAAAAATCATTCAAGGGACAGAGGAAGTGTAGTAGATCAGTCATCTGAAGTTCAGTTGAGCGTGTGAAACTGTGCCACGTGAGATATTATTAGTTAAGCTTGAGAAGCTACGGGTTGGTGCAACACCTGTATGTGAATAGTCCCTGTGAAGGAGAAAACAAAGAGCAGCACTCAATGGGAGGCTGGGAGTTCCCCCAGAGGAGGTCATGTGTAGTGTTTGCATTAATGGTTTTTGGCTCCGAAGGCAGTGGTGTGCGAGCGGAATTTATGATGATACAAAACCAGGTGTGGTGAACAGAAAGGGAATCAAAAGATCATCCAGGAAGACCACGGTTACCTGAAGAACAGGAACAAATGGGATGAAACCTGGGAGTATGAATGGAGGCTCATTCAGTGTGGGACAAGAACAGAGATTCTGGTTCTATTTGAGAAAGCATTATTTGGCAATGACACAACAGAGGAGGGAAGTACTTAGATAAGTACTAATAAGTGCCAGGACAATTCAGGATTGAGGCTATTGATGTAGAAAAAAGGCAGATGCAGCTCTGGGATGACTCAAGGAAGGGAATTCTAGAAAGAGTGAACTGCTTCTGTGTGCGTTTCAGGAATAAATGCTGCTGAGCTGCAGAAATACAGAGGATGTAACGAGTGAGAAACCTCTGCCTTTAGAATCTACTCTGTTCCTTGAGTGCATTCCTTGTCAACTTTACTCTCTCTTATTTAATCTTCCTGTATTTTGTGGTATTGCAACTTATTTGATAAGACGTACTCTGAAGCCCAGCCATTGCCACAGTTGTAATTGATTGCAGATGGTGACTTACCTTCCTGCTGAGGTGGTTTCTGAAATGTGTTCTTAATCTGAAAATACTCTCCTTGGCTTCATTGGAAAAGACAGAGGATGTTTTGGGCTTCCTCGTGGGATCATCACGAAAAAAAGCAGTGGTTCTGGTGCTGCTGTATTTCCATGTAGTCCTGAAAGGCAGCTTTAACTGATGACACATTTAGATCTAATGACTGTGAACAAACGATCATACATCAGTCCGAGTGCAGCCCCTGTGGAACAGACAGCCATAACGGGGCCATGTGCCCACAGAGCAGCTCTCCACCTGCTGCTGTCGCAACAGAAAAGAGCAAGCATCCACTAATCAGTGAAAGACCCAAAGCAAAGGAAATCCCAGCTGGTCCCCAAACAACAAGGGCTCTGGAGGTGCAGATTCACAGGGAAGTAGCTGGAGTTTGCTACTTGTGATGCTGAGGTATGGCTTCAGGAGTTAGGGCAAGAGCTCTGGGAATACAGGAATAGGAAATGAGTGCACATAGAAAGAGAGGGACAAAGCCATCAGAAGGGGCAGTGAGCATCTTGCCAGGGCAGCCCAAGCACAACTAGCATTCAAGGGCAGAAAAAAAAGGCTTAGTTGCAGCAATGCTATCAGGAATAAGCTGCTGTCATCGTGACCGCTTCATGTAATCCTCCTCCAGGTGTGGATTCTGCTGTGCTTAAAATGTCAAAACAAGCACTGCCAGTACTGTCCTGTCTGTGGAGTCACAGGTGATCAAAGCATTGCCTCTCCCTTACCACCCTGCTGCAGCTCAGGACATTGCATCAGCTGAAAGAAGACCAGGACAGCTTGAGCACCTTATCTTACCCAACAAGTGGTGGCAAATACTCGGTGTGATACAGAGAACTTCCCCTACAACAGCCCTAGTGTGGTCCTGGCCCCAAAGTAGACCTGTGCCTGTTGAGGGCTGGCTTTCATGGGACGTTGCTGGCAGCACCATGCTTGGGGTTCTTTGGACTTTGCTGCGCGCAGCATGGATGTGGAGCATGGTCTCTCTGCATCTGCAGCACTCAGTTCCCAGGCAGGTTTTGCAGTGCAATTTGTTGCCTTTCCCCATTCAGTGGTGATGGGAACAAGGTGCCTGCCTCTCACTGGCAGGTTTGAAAAATTTGCTCCAGATCTTTCTCCCCCCGCAGCCACTCACACTGGAATGCAGTCTCCTTCGCCTGATTAGCTCTGTCTGTCAGTGGGGTGAGTCCCTCTCCTGCAATCAGTAACCTGAGCTGGTGTTGAAGACATGCTGCATCCCTCCTTCCTGTGGTGCTGTTGGGTGCACAGCACTGCACTGTAAGCTCTGCGGGTGCTCTTTGCGGGGGACAGAAGCCCGTTCTCTGCCTCTGTGGTCATATGTTCAACCACAAGGCATTGCCACAGATATCAGCGATAGCCATGGATCAGGTGGGAGGTTGAATTTCCCTTACATGTGGCTTTCTGCTTGGAAACAGGCTTGTGGCCAGGGTACAGAGCAGCCCTAATGTTGCTGTGTACAAACCTCAAGCTGTGATCAGCTTGAGGTTTGTACGTCTGGCCAGCAGCCTGGTGTGCAGTGCAGGAGCCAGACCTGGCTGTGGTATAAAGCAGTGCAGTTGTATCACCCAAAGCTTTGTCACCCACCTCCCGTACTTACATTCCTGCTCTGCTTGTGCCTTTCACAGCAGTTTGCCTCCTCGCTTTGTGGCCTGAGCTGATGTTTGAAGTTTGCTCAGAAGTGGCTGCTGCTCCACTTTCCATGTATGTCACTGTGTAGCACAGGATGTACGGAGGTCATACTGGGTAAAACCATTGGCTTCTCCCCCTGTCTGATGAGAAAGAAAGACATGAGAGAGGGATGAGCCTGTGCCGACAGGAGCAGTTGGGCTCCTTGATGCTCCAGGTGGGCTCTGAACAAGCCCAGCCGGATGCAAGGGAAAGAGCACTCACTAAGCTGAGGATCTCACAGCACAACCCCTGTGCCAGCAGACAGCCACTTGCTGTGCATTGGCAGCAGCACACGCACACTTGGCTGCCTCTGCCAGTGCCGTGTGCTCGTAGCAAGGGGCTGTGCTGTCAGTGCAGGTGCTGCTGCATGGCAGGCACTGTGCACGAGCCCCCAGCTGACCAAGTGCCCTCTCTCTGCTGGTTGAAGCCGTTTCTAGGGAGTTCTCCTGGAGGGATTTTATCCCAGGTCTTACTTAGAGCCAGTAGTACCTGCTGCCCAGAGCACCGTGTTGGAGACGTGAATCCTTTCCCTGGCATTCTTGTCTCACAGGAAGATTTTGGGGAAAGTTGCTTTTCCCTGCTGTCTGTCTCCCCAGGGGACAAATTACTCACTGCTTTCATTAAGTGCTGTAACAGTACAAGCGCAGTGGGGTGGTGGCAAATGCTGTGATCACTGCTAAAGCCTGCTGCAGGGAATGCATCTGGGTGGGCTGCCAACAGCCATAGCGATCACTGCTCCGAAACGCCTGGCTGGGAGATGTGACCATTTCACCCTTCTCATTGTATTAGCGTAACCTTTAGCATGCAATTTCCTGTTGTTAGGGCTGGCGGAGGCAGGACAGGGGCTGCTGCCCTGCTGTAGAAATCCAATGCTGAGGAGCACACAACACCAGGAGAGAACTCCGTGAGATCAGGCATGTGACTAACAAATCTTTAACACTTCAGGATAAGCATCCTCCACACACAGATGGGTCTTAATGCTGTGCTGTTGGACACGTGTTGATATGTCTGCCCGAGGTGAAGGTACCTGAGGTGCCCAGATCTCACAATGTCAAAAAGGTTCACCCAACCCCTGCCTCAGATACGCAAGTCTGACTGCTGGCTTTATCTGCTTTTGGTCAGGGAAGGTCCTTGGACTGCAAGGATTCTTCTGTTGGCACCAGGGCCTGTCTCCTTGCCCTGCCCCAGCTGAAGCCTCCCACGATGTGAGGTGCGGAAGCACACATGGCTAGGATAGCTGGTGACCTCTGTCTTTCCCATTTCTTTCTAGTCCTGGACGCACAACATCCAACGGGAGAAGGAGTTCCTGAGGAAGCTGGTGAAAGCCCGAGTCATCACGGACCTGACCAGTGGGATCTGAGTGGCTGCAGCCCCTGCCTCAAAGGGAGGAGAGGAAGACGCACGCTGCGGCTCTGGAAGCAGGCACTGGCAGCCCCCCACAAGAATCCCACTTCCCTGGAGACACACAGAGATGCCCGGGTGCTCTGGGAAGGCCCTCTCGCATCGCCGGGCTGCAGGAGGGTTGCATCTGCTGCCTCCAGTTCTGGGTCTGGCAGGAGGCGGGCGAGGGGCTGAGTGGGCAGTTCTTGAACTCTGCATCACAGACGGATCTTCTGTGTCCAGAATTAAACAGGAAAGACTCAGGAGAGAGAAGAAAGGTTTGTGAGTAAAGCGATTTGTGCCAAATGGGAGGTGACGCTGCTCCGAGGCAGCAGTGCCTGAATGTACAAAGTATTATTTTTTAAAAGAAACTCTGCTGAAATCATCCTAGAATTACCAAGGTGCAAAGCAAAGTCTGCTTGTGCACAGCCCTGCGAAAAGCTCAGCCTCTCCACGCTCTATCTGCATTCTCACTGCCCTCAGACCTTTCGCCAGGAAAACAAATCCGTCCAAAACGTCAGTGTTGTTGGTGCTGCTATAATTTAAAGGGAGGTTGGCTTTCCCTCGTTCTCCATTTGGAGCTTCTCATTGGAGATGAGCACGGGTTTGTTTTTCTGCACTTTTACTCGCTTCCTATGTAGAAGCGGCAGCAGCAGCCACTCACTAGGCTGCGTTTTCCATAGCTGTTTGCTCTGCCCTGACACGGGAACTGGTGGCTCTCTGCCTGCAACAGACCCACCATCCTGCCCGTCACAGCACTGCGGAGTCCACCTCGTTGTGCTCAGGGCTGTCAGGTCCGTGCTTACTGTGCAGAGCCCTTGTGGAGTCCGAGCAGATTGGTGTCACCATTTCTGGACAGCATCCTGCTTTGTTTTTGTGGGGGAGATCAGTGGTTTGTTTTTTGGAAGGAGGTCAGATGCTGTGTGAGGATCTGAAGCTTTGCGTATGAAGAGCAGGCCACCGAAGATGTGTTATGTTCCGGACTCGATCATGTTCCCTATTTAAGTGACTTGTGACCTCAGCAATGATGGAGCTTGCTGGCAAGTGTGGGGGCCTGCTGGGAACCCTCGCCTTCTACTTGGCCCCAGCTCACTTCATGTTCAAGCTCCTCCTGTGCTGCTCAAGCACTGCTGCTCCTCCTGCTCTCAGGAGCATGTCCCTTCCTTTGCTGTCTTGGTCCCAAGATGCAGTATTTGCACATTTGATTTGGGTACGTATTTCAGAGGGGCTGGAATAAACTGAGCGCCGTGGCTGAGTGCAAGGACAGCAGGATGATCTCATCCACCTGGAGAGTGTGGGCAGGAGGGGGACTGCCGAGGGAAACTGTGCTGTACCCTCTGAGCCACGTCCCTGTGTCAAGGCCACCTCTGGGGTTGGTGGAAGTGATCCTGCAGGGATGCTGGCTGGGTCATGGTGCTGTATCTGGCATAGTCCAAGGACTGTAGCTTGCCTTGCTCTGAGCTGAAGAGAGAACATGTCCCCAGTATGAACAGGAGATGCTCAGAGAAGGGCTTGCATGGGCCTCTTTCCCACTAACTTGCCAGGGCTAAGACTCAGGGGTGTACAGGAGAGGCAGGCAGGGACCCAGGGATTTCAAGCTGCAGGAGGCAGAGGGATGCTGGGAGTTTCACCCTTCCATTCTCCTTCCAGTTTCCCTACTCCTGTCCCCCTCCCCTGCCAGGCAGACACTCCCTGCTGCCTCAGGTACATGCTCACCCCAGGATGCTCCATGAGGTGTCCAGCCCAAAAAAGATGGATTTTCCAGCAGATTTAGAGCATCTGCTGTGGCAGATAACTCACTTGGGTATTCTCCCTCCCTTAGCAATTCTTCTGTGGCAGCCTGGTCTCAGGAACCATCAGCAGCAGAGGCTCTGCCACAGCAACAGTGCAGGGGCCTGGGCTGGACCAGGCTCTGAGCTGAACCTTAATGCTTGAACTGAGTCTTCAGCTGCTGTGGGAGCCCCATGGTGGTGCTGGACCCCATCCACATGCTGCAGGAGCTGAGATGCCAGAGAGCAAGGAGCTGCAGCCAGGAGGAGGGTGAAGAGCCTTTGGTGTCAGTGCTGGGTTCCTCACTACCACCAGAGGTGCTGTGGAGGGAGCCCCATGGAGACCTGTGATAGCATCAGTTCAATTCAGTTGTTTTTATTAAACACTACAAAGCTGTGGGGCACCATTACGTTCCAGCTCGCTGGCTCCAGGCCCATGGAGGAAGCTCTGCTTTCCCTGCCATCCCAGCTCCCCACCACACCTGGGGACAGGTCCTGATGGGAAGCTGTGCCTGCTGCCTGGGGAGGTGACTCTGGGCACCCTGGTGGGGCACCCAGGAGCTGAGCACATGGCTCAGGGCCACCTGCAAGAAGAAGGAGAGAAGATCCATCTCACTGTCTCGTTGACATTGGTGAGACGAGGGCAGCCACAGAACATCCTCTGGCCAGGCACTGGGGGTGCTGCTGGCCCGTTCCACCTCCCATGCAGGAGTTTCACTCCTGGCAGCTGCTCCTTTGGCTGTCTCCTCGCGTGCACCTGCAGCCACCTCCTGCCTTCCGAAACGCAGCAGTCCTGCCAGCTCCGAGCGGTGCACGGGTCAGGGCAGGGTCAGTGGGACGGATGTGAGTCTCGGCCTCTCCCTCACCATGACTCACCTTTTTCAGCTCGGAAAGGAGAGCCCAGGGGAATTCTCCAAGGCCTAAATATAGAGCGGGGTTGCCTGACAGCTCTGCCACGCTGCCGTGCAGAAAGGCCATTGAAGTGGCAGGGAATCTGCCAGGGGAGAGGTGGGGACAGGGGAAGCCCCATGCCTGTGGCTGTGGCTGTGCTGCTGGTGCAGGGCTGGGGCTGAGGACTGCATCAGGGCCGGAGCCTGGTCCTTTGATGCAGGCCATGCAGCCACCTCCCAGTTTTGGGCTCCTCTGCAGCCCGAGGTGACACAGGGACCTGCTCTGAGTGCGGTGAGCTCGCCGGTACTGTGCCACACTGAGGTACAAGAACTCAATGAGTTTTTAAAACTAGTTTTAGTTTCTGCAGGTTTTTGTTGTTTGTTTGTTTGTTTTTTTTAATTTCCCCTCTAGGCAGGGAGGTGGGAGTCTCGCAGGCTTTTCAAGCCGGCTTATGTCACATCAATTCAATCATATCACAGAAGCAATAAAGCTATCAAACAAGCTCCAGTGGCCTCTTTCTTCTGCTGCCTGTGGTGGGCAGAGGGATTCCCCGGCTCAGGCTGCACCCATTGCCTTCATTGCTACCTTCTCTTCCTGCCTTGTGACTGACGGCATAGGAGAGGGCTCAGCATTGGTGCACATCATGTGTGTTTCAAAGCTGTTTGGTGTCCCAGCTGCCGCAGTCCTTCAGCTGAGTCCTTTGGGTCTCCTCACACTGGGGCTGCTCCCAGCCATGCAGCCATAGGGCTGGGTGCAGCATATTGAAGGCAGGTGTCCAGCCCGCTGACCTTCTCACCGCAGCAGAGTCCAGGAAGGAAGCAGTTTAGGAAGCCGGGGGCCGATCTTGTGACCGACTCCAACACCTGCCAGGGCCCAGAGGGAGGATGTGACCCCTCCTGCAAATCCTGGTGGTTCTGGGGAGCTTCCAGAGCCATGGGACAAGTCTCATTGCTTGGGACGGCCGCTTCCAAGTGGGTGACAGGTCTGCCAGATGCAGGCGGTGGCTTCCTGCCAGCAGTGGTGGGACAGTGCAGGGACAGCCGGCTCCCAGTGTGCGGCTGCAGGACACAGATCCCTTCCAGTGAGGAGACGCACAGATCACTCCTTCCTGTTCTGCACTTCCTGGCCCTATAAGCAGAGCCACTGCTGCCACCAGCCTGGGGCAGCCCAAATGTGCTCCCAGGAGCACAAAGCCTGAGAGCGGGGCGTATGGGGTCAGCCAGGTTGGCAGAAACAGATGCTCCTGGTAGCAGACGTCCCCAGAAAAGCCACGTCGCCACCAGACAGGGACGATGCAAGAGTCCAGCCCATCTGCGTCACAGCTCTCTGCCACATGTGTTCTGTCACACTGCGTCGTCTGCTGGAGCACGTCAGCCCCATCTGCCTCATGCACGGGTGGCACCTGCAGGGACAGACGTCAGAGCAGAATGGGGACATGGGGACAGCCCCAGCCTTGCAGGGCCGACGCAGCGGTGATTTGGAGGCAGCTACTGGCAGCAGTTGGGATTTGGGCACAATGCTGGAAAGTGCCACCCCCTGCCACTAGGGTGTGACTGGGCTGACATTTCCAGGGGTTGAGCAGGGAGCCAGTACCCCTGGTTTCTGGGATATCAGCCACAAAGGGACAGGAGAGGACAGAGGCTGGATGCTGCCATTCTGTTACAAGGGACACCATGGGCACCATACAGGTTCACTGGGCACCCCTCTGTTCTACACCCATCTCGTGGGCATCTCCCCAGTGTGGACACAGCTCTTGCCCTACAGACACAGCCAGGCACCCCAGAGCACAGCATGCCACTAGTGAGCACCATTTCCAAGTGGGCATCCCCATCATCCCACTCTCCATCCCTGCAAAGCGGAGCAACCCATTCCCTGTCCCCCATCCCGGAGGGATGCTCCTGCACCCCCAACCCTGCTAAGAGGCAGCCGTACTCCCCGCCACATGCTGGGGGCAGCACCTCCGTGCCCTGCACCGCGTGGCCGCCTGCAGCAAGAACAGCTTAGCCCTCACACTGCTCGACGGGTGATGCCGCAGAAGGGAGCGGAGCTGTCATCCCCGCGCGGGATAATCCGAGCAGACGAGGCCGGGGCCGAGCTGCGTCCCATCGGCCCGCTCCGGCCCGGGGAGCACGTGCGAAGCGGGGCCGAGCGGAGGCGGCCCTGGGATTTGGCACGTTCGCAAGGAGCACTCGAGAGCCCCGGGATGGACGTGGAGGGCC